TGCCTGTGCTCGCAGGGAGTACCACCACTAAATTGGCTTGTGCTGTGTGGGGCTGGCAGGACCCACAGACCGCAGGCTGAGCCTGGGGTGGGTGCTCCAGAGCTGGGCACGAGCATGCTCTCAAATTGTTTAGATCTGCACTTGTTTTGCTTTTTTCCAATATCTGCTAGTTACTAAAATTGATTCCTGAAAATGAAATTATTTCTTCAAGAAGAAGAGAAAGTGTTGCTTAGGTTTTTGCACTCTCCTGTGAGGTTTCAATTCCTGGGCTCTGAGCAGGACTGAACACTGTCTGTTTTATCAAGATAATTTCTGAACTTGGAAATAGTGTTTGAGTCTTCAGTTACAAAATCTGTAAAAGGAGATACTTTAGTACTTAATTTTGATGCACAACAAGATAAATCCTTATTTACATCTTGATAGGATATCTTGGAGAAGACTCTATATGCCTCCCAAATTGGAATTCTATTCAAATAATTCAATTAATTATTTCTCTAACTGACTTCTGGCAGTTGCCAAGCGTGAAGAATTAAATCATCTGTTCTAAGACGTGTCAGAAGCATACCACTTTTTAGAGCCTCCATCAAAGCTTGACAAAGCATTAAAGCAGCAGCCCGCCACGGGCTGACCGCTAATTAGAAGCACAGGGGACTGTTTTCCATGTCACCCCCGAAGCTCGCACCACAGAATCAAGAAATATTGCAGGTTTGTCAGCACAGCCTGTGGCCACAGTGGAGAATTTACATCTTTTGGCCATAAAATCTGTTAATTTCTTCTCCAAAAGCCACTGTTACAGAACTGAAGCCTTTCTTTTCCCCTGTCACCCGTGAATAGATTGTTACACTCAAAGTTTGCAATTTTGCATAAAAGCTCCCCATCTGAAATGTATTTCCATAGCCAAGTGCTGTGGGGAGGAGAAAGGTTTGGAGAGAGTCTTCCGGATGTTTGGATTTCCAAAGTGCACATCTTGCTGTTGAAAACACTCTCTGACTTCATCGCTGCTCTGCAACTCCGTCATCCACCGCCATGTGTAGATGTTGAGGGGGGCTGGTGCCTGCTGCAGGCTCGCTCTCCGTTCCCCCTTGCTCTGGCGTTTCTCCTGCTGTTACCAGTTCGTTAGGAGACGAGACTCCTTCTCCGGCAGGCTGGGCTGAGGAAGAGCCCAGGATAACCTGCACAGGAAGGTGTAGTGCTTGAGGGATTCAGTCTATCAAGAACTATTAATTCCAGAGCAACTCTTTGCAACTGAACAAAGTAGCCACAGCTCGGTGCGGCTGTTGTGCCTGGATGGATTAGCCCCAGGGCTACGTGTTTGGCCTGCTGACAGTGAAACAGGCTGAGCCTGCCCAACGCCCACCCATGGCCGTGCCCATGGCCCTGCCACCTCATGCCGGGGGATGCAGAGCCCAGAAGCAGAATAGCTGCCTGAAGACTGGCAGCACGTTTTCTCCACCCAGAAATATTTGATTAGGCAAATACACTTCAGCAAGTTGAAGTGACTTAAATCATCCCAAATGTCTATAAGTTCTACCTTCTTTTGTGATTGGCTCATAAGGAGAGAGCACTGATATGTTAAATGTTTCCTAAGCCAAAAAAGAAGCAAAAAAGTCCATTCATTGCAGCCTGAATACCTTTGATTTATGAATCTCTGATTCATCTTGACAGCTACTTAAAAATTCATGTCAAACTCTGCATTAATCTTGGCCAGGAAAAGAAATGTGTTAGGTAACAAGAGTGCCACAAAATGCAGTTACCATTGTGGGTGTGTTTAATGAAAGGCATCATTAGCATTTAAGTCACCAGAGAAGCGTCGGTACATATTACCAAGTACTTTCTCTTTTTTGAAGTCTGATGAGCAAATGTGTACTTGGGCAGAGAAATGCATTTCTAATATTGATGTCTCAGTGCATTATTTCACCTTTTTAATGTGTGTAGTTTTCATGTATGTCAGAGTTTCCCATGTGTCATTAGATACTGAAACTGAGATAATACATACATTTTGTGTAAGGGAGAAAAGGGAAATAAATTTATTTTCTCTCTCTTTTTCTTTTCTTTTCTTTCCAATATTGGCCATATTTGAGATTAAAAACTTAGCTTAATGGCTTCATTGATCAAATAGCATTCTCTATGGTGCCTTGGAGAAATTATCATAAACTCAATAATTTTTTTTTTTTAAATTCCTGATTATTATTTGTTGCTGATCTGGTTATTTTTTTCCAGGAATGCTTCATTACAAATGGTAACATTTTCCAAGAAAATAACCAGATAGTCTGCAATTTGAATGTATTAAGGGTTTGAATTAACAAAAGCAGCTGCTTTCCTCTTGCAATAACTGTGTCTTCTACTTTGCATTTCTAAACACAATGTTACTTAGCATATATCCACAGCATTTTACTTAGTATCTTGTGTTTTTTGAAAGTATCTTAAAAGGCCCCAGGCCCAAGGTGGCAGTAGACCATCCTGGCAGAGAGATGTCAGGAGGAGGGAGGAGAGAAGGGAGGCGTGTGGCTGCACTCCTATTCAAAACCAGTTGTGTTTCCACCGTGAATTAAAGCCAGAAAGAAGCTGCACAGTAGCTTAATCGGCAAGGGCAGGTGATGAAAAACAAGCATGAGGTTAAATTTACGCCGGAGATCACAATTTTTTTTCTCCCTCTTTTTCATTACTTGATAGTAAAGAAAGATATGACATTACTGTGGGGTGCTTGTTTTATTATTATAAAAATATTAATTTCATAATTGAACCATTGAATGTGATTCTTTATTTGCAACATGTCATATCTGGCCTGTGCCCCTGATTTACAGTTTTCCAGAAATATACTCAGCTACATTAAGTTGAATTAAACATAATTAAAGACGTTGTTAAAGTTTTTAAAGAAATTTAAGATTCAAGATAATTAAACAGTTAAGATACTACCTGTATTTTCTACTGAAAATGTTTCTGTCTGTATCTCCCACTTTTAAAGGCTTTCAGGTAACGTCATTCATACAGTGTCCCCTGCTGTACTGAAGATGATGTAAGAGATCTGTACAGGACAAGTGAGTGGGTCAGAGTGGTGGCTTTTGAGAGGAGCCAATTAAATTCATTTCAGTGGTTTTGGCTGTGGCATTTTTTACTATGGATTCTTTTTGGCTCTGTGTGAGGTGGTTACTTTGGTTTTGTTGTAGACTGATTTTAAAATTTTTATTTTCTTTAAAAAAAGGGAAGAGAACAAAGGCAGGCATGTTGACAGCTAAGTGCTGCTCCAGACAATTTGTCTTATTGACTGCAGGAAAATTACTGGCGTGGCACCAGTGCCCTTCTCAGCCACTTTGAGACTTGGCAAATTCTCCCTAGGCTGTTAGGGTAATGTTTGCATTAGCCTTTTGTAATAAACAGGTATCAGAAGAGTTGCAAAGGTAGGTTTATCTTGGCTGCTGAAGGTGGGCTCTTACTAGACAAATCAAAGGAAATAGCTGAAAATTATTAATGCTTTATGGAAGAGTATCAGCAGAAAGATTAAGTTTTCTATCATGGATATCGAAAACTCTTGACTTAGCCAAAGTATTGATTTCCCCCTATTCATTGACTGGCCTGTTCATAAACAGGAAAGTGTTATGATGGAAAGTCTCATGAGAAGAGTGGTGGTGTTTGCACTTCTACTCCAAGGCTTAAGTGAGGAGAGTTCAGTTCCCAGCTTTGCAGCAGATTACGTGTGTAAGTAGCAACAGTCTGTCAGAGCTATTTCAGTACCTCCAATTGATCCAGGCACTCGGCAGAACTTGATAAAGTTTCCACCATGATTAGCGTTTTCCATTGAACACCACCCACCTGTCTGCTTTAATATATCCGAAATCCTGCTAGACACCTCCTGGTCTTTAGCATCTACATACCTTTGAAAACCTGGTTTATACCTCCCAGGGGTTTTCAGTGGAGAAATGTGTGAGCTGGACCATGAGGACCAGGGCACAGTGCTGCAGCAGTGAAGCTCAGGTTGGATATCAGCTTGGAGGGGGACGCTGTTTGAAACACAATCTGCCCTCTCACATCTCCATTCACGGCTGAGCGATCCTTTCCCACCTCCACGAATGTCCTGAGGCATAGTCAAAATACAGGTAGCCATGGGCTTAACAATATGCTGGCTGATTTCCTGGCGTTTCAGCCAAAATTCTGAAACCCCACCCCAGCATCATCTCTCTGAATTCAGACACCTCCAATTTGTACCTTTCTTTCTAAATGACAGCGTGCGATCATTTCATATGCTGTTGGGTTTAGCACATTTGTACATTAAAATACATCCTGTTTGTCCTTAGTCACTTAGTACAATTCAGGATTTGACTATTGCAAAATACAGCTTAGGTGTGAAAATTTTCCACATACTTGTTTGCTGAAGTGGGAGAACAGAATACCCTAATATTAAACCATAAAGCAGCGATAGTTTATTTTTAAAGCTAGAAAACGCATTTAACAAGCTGCCCAATCCCAGATAATTTCAGACTATATTTGTCATGTACATAGGGGACATAAAATTATGAAAGCAAAATACTTTCAGCAGCATGTGATGCAAGTAAAATGAAACAGCACTGTACAGAAAGGAAAGCTGGTGCAGAGTCGAGGTTTGATAGATGGGTGGAGATCCCGTTTTACAGGGTCCTGGCTTCAGGAGGATCGGACTGTAGGAAGTCCCTGCGCCATCCTACTAGCGGACACCCCTTTACTGCCCCGGCTGTGCTGACTTGTGTCCTTGTGGGGCCATGCTGCAAACTGTGTCGGGAGCTGATCTGGGCTGTAGTAGCAGTTTTTGTGGAATAAAACAGTGCTCTTCACTTTAAACTTGCATCAGTTGGTGAGCCCAGCTCCCAGCAGGAGCTCCCAAATGTCTGCATGGGCTTGCGCTGAGGAGCCTCCAGTGGCACGGGGCAGCGGGTGAGCTGGGAACATGTCCAGCTCCTCTTGTCCCTGCAGGCTTCTCCTCCTGCCAGCCCCGGGCAAGGACAGTGATGCTTTGGCACTGTGAAGCCATGTGGGAATCTGTGATGGAAGGTATTTCTGGTCTGAATGTGGGGTTTGGAGGGGCTTCCCTGACAGACATGTGACCCTGCAAAACGGGCTATGATAAATGTATAAGGAGTGTTGGACAGAAGGGTGCTGGCTGCAGCATATCTTTCTGCAGTGCTTGCAGTAATACCATCGAGGTATTACTCAGTAGTGCTGGAAATCTGTGCTTACGTCAACCCATGAAACACATTTTATGTATCTCACCAAGATTAGTTTATAAAAACACACTGTGTAACTGGTTCTAGTTGAAACCTTCACCAGATCCATCTGACTTACCTCTTGGTGAAAACTAGCAGGAGAAAGGGGAGCTTTTTTGTTACTGTTTTTTGCCTTTTTTTTTTTTTTTTTTGGCCTTGCCACATCCTCTTGTCATTTTATTACATGGTGATCACTTGTTTTACTTAAGGTTTCTTTTCTCCCTCTTCTGTCTGACAGGCCTAGAAGATGTTGTAGCAATAATGATTCCTGAACCCAAAGGAAAAGAGATAGTAAGCCTCCTGGAGAGGAATATTACTGTGATGATGTACATAACCATCGGGACCCGCAATTTGCAGAAGTACGTCAGCCGGACCTCTGTGGTGTTCGTCTCCATCTCCTTCATTGTGCTGATGATCATCTCGCTGGCGTGGCTGGTCTTCTATTACATCCAGCGGTTCCGCTACGCAAATGCCAGAGACAGAAATCAGGTGAGCAGTGCTGGAATGGCTGTTTGTGTTTCCAAAAAATCACTGTGAGATTCAGCTTAAAAGTAAAATTTGAGGGAATTGTGAATGTGTGGTTAAAAAAAAAAAAAAAAGTGAAAAGAATGGGGATATAAAAATGCCTGTGTTTGGGAAGAGCCAAGATTTCTGTCAATATAGATGGGATTCAGGAAAGAAGAAGTTAATAAACATATCATATATATATTATGGGTTTTTTCTCCCATGCAACACACAAGAAATAGACAGAAACTTGATAATGTTTATTAGGTAAAAGATTGCTTTAGTACATATAGCCAAGTGACACAGAAATGTATATAACTAACGACCCTCGAGATCAAAATAATGACTAAAATATAGTGAGGTATGTGAATGTCTATGTGTGAAACAAGGGTTCACAATAGTGAAGAAAGAAAAAAGAATAGAAAGTGTTTTCATTTTAATACTTCTTTAGCAGGGTCTTGGGCTTGAAAGGCAAACACATCCCTGTTCATTTGAAAATGATTGCTGGACATATAAGTGCTGTAGTGATAGCCACCAATATTATTAAACCATTGCTTTTGGTTTTGGCATCTTGTCCAAACCCCTTGAAAGAGATACAAAACTTACAGAGCTGGGGAGAAGTAACAGCAGCGGGATTGAGCCTGAGGTACTGAGGCCCTCTGGATTTATAAAGCACAGTTCATCTTTATGGTAGTTCAGCAATGAATAATAATAGCAAGGATAATAATAAATTTAATCTTTTCTTGACTGGATGCAACTATCTCGGCATCAGCAGAACTGTGAAGCTGAGGCTTCTACATTTCATTCTAATGGTACTGTAGAAAATGTTATCAATGTATGAAATCTGAGGAGATAACCATTTTACTGCAGTGAAAAAATGCACTGTAATTCAGAGATGTTTCTGGACCCTTAATAAATTACTGTCGGGGCAGGGGGAGGGTTGCCTTGCTTACTCTGCAGAAAAAGTAAAACTGAGAGTGTTAATAATCATCTTGTAGAGAAAAGTACTGCCACACACTCTGTAACATATGATCCCTCACCCTCTGCCACTGAAATTCAGGCATCCTCTGAGAGAGCAGCTGCTGTGTGTTTACAGACAGAAAGAATATATTTTCCTTTTAAATATACAGTATGAAATTTTGGATAGCAAGAATGAGACTATCCCAGCTGAAATTTGAACATCACTGGCAGCAGATTCGCTGTGACTGTAATGGCTGTGGTAATTTTTAGATGCTTGGCTGCAAAAGCACATGTGTGCCTAATTTATGTATGTGAGTACTGTAAATGTGCTTTCAATCAAGTAATTATACAGGCAGATTAGCAGTGTAAATAGACATGCATAAATATGAAATCCAGCAAAAGAAGCAGCTCATTCAGGTCATATGCTATAGTTTGGAACGGATAGGTTTATATGTTGAAGCAGATTTCCTTTTCATTATTTTCTTTCCAAAGTTTGAACAAGACTGACATGTGCACAAGCAGTAGTCCTGTGCAGAGGTTTTAATAACGTTATTGTTCTAGTTCTGTTCTTCAGAAGAATAAGACAGCATGCCTCCTAAGCAATTATTTATTATTAATTTTTTGCCAAAGCTGTAATAACGATATGGGGCAAACTAGAATTTCTTCATGTACTTTCTTCATCCAGTTTTGCCTGACATCTCCTTTAATCTCTTTATTAGCTCTTTTCATATGAAAAATGGTAGCAATATACAGATAAGGCTCGACCATTTGTTAGTGAGTTGCTGTGGGTTTTTTTTTGCTTTTTCTTTTAGTCCTGGCTATGGAGTATCATGATGTAGGTAGTTCAGAAGAGCTCATCTTGCTCTTGCCCTTTCCATGAGGGTTCCTCTCTGTTTCCCCCAATGTCCTGCTTGGGTTTTTGTGGGGTTTTTGACACATTTTCTTGCAGCAAGAGGATGGGATCACAACGCTCTATGTTAATATCTTAGATATTCAGATATATACAAGAAAAATTGTTTGTGTTGATTTGCTGGAACAAGATTCTTTTGTCATGGCGCTCAAAAGCTTTTGCCATTATAACTTGCATGTGTCCATGGTATGAAGATAATTGTGCTTACATATTGGAAAGCCTTGTGTGTGCTGTAAGCACCTTCATTGCTGGCCAACTTCAGGAAAGATGCTTCCTTGTATTTGTGTTTGATGTACTCAGGCTAAAGTTTATCCAAAGGTTGAAATGTTTGGATAAACAGAGCATCAGATGAAGGGGGAGCCAGCTGGCGTATTCAGAGAAAGTTGTGCTGTCAGTTCCTACCCTGCAATGCGATAAAATCTGACTGTGCAGACTGACTGCCCTGTTCTGAAAGTGCAAAAAACTGAGACTCATTTATTAGACTTCAGTTAAAATGAAAAAAAAATTGAAAAGGTTAAATTCATTTTGACATCCGAATGATTTAAAATCCCAGTTTTAAAACAAGGGCTTGTGAGGGTCTGTGTTTTCCATGTCAAATAAGAATATGTGCCTGCGTCTTTGTTAACCTCTATCATGCATGCCCTTCCTAGGTTTGGCTGATATTGGAGTTGCTACCAGGAGCAGTTCAGCCTCCTCTGGATTGGTAGTCTGGGCACTGTTGCTGAGGGAATGGGACAATGTGACTGACTGCAAAATATGATTGGCATAAATCATATGGCAAAAAATATGACAGCAGTAAAAGCTGTCATCTCCAAGCAGGAGGGGTGTTCCACTGTTACATGAAAGCAAGATTTCTGAACTTGGTCACTCCAAGTCTCCCTAAGTCATCTTCCATTTTGCCTCTTCCAAGCTGACCCATTGCAACTATATCTTCCTTTCATGAAAAACATCATGTGTCCTTTTGTCAAGCCCCATAACCACCTTTGCCTCCTGGTCTTCTTTCACATGATGACCCTCATTTCCATGTCCACTTCCCTTCTTGCACATGGCTTAAGTTGCCAATCAAGCAGTAAACCCAAAAGGAACTTATTTAATTATCCATCAAGAAGGCAATGAGTCCAGCTAGTGAGAGAGGCAGCTAGAAAGACTGAAGAATCTCCTGGAATAATTTCCTGTGACTCCCCAGTGAGATGAAACCTGGACATACAGCATCTACATCTTTAGCCACAACCCTTCTTCACCCTGTGTGCAAAATCCAGGTTCGTGTGCCAGAAAGAAGACACAGCTCACTCCAGTTAGGTGCCTGATTTTGATGAGCAGAGAATCGGGACTTCAAGGATTCTCACTGAATGCCCTGGCCTGTTTGTCCCAACTTGTCAGGGAATTAATGCAGTAGAGCGCAAAACTGTCTTCCATTATGGGCTTGAGCACCTGCAGCCAGGGTGTCAGCTACAAATATGGTTAGATTTCAATTTTTATTTTAATACATTTAATTTTTAAGAGTATCTCTGGCACAGACGACTGTACAGTAGATGTGGAAGTAGAAGATGTGTAGTAATAGTCACATGGATGAAAATCCAAGGCCTCCTCTTCTTTCCCACCTAACAAGATGTCCAGGAAGTAGGTGGTTGCCCTGATCATGCACCCTTTTGATATGAAGAGCATAAATTTGTGTAAGGAAAGCATTGGCAATCAACTTCCTCAGCAGCTTGTTCCTGGAGCCCTCCTGAAGATGAGAGAGTTTCTCTGTGAAATACTTTTGGAATTTTTTGCATCAAGAGACATCAGGTTGCAGAGCTAACTGAAAGCAGTTTGGAATTACATGACAAGTTAAGTCCCGGAGACAATTCAGCAAAATGTGACTTGCTGTCTCAGCCCTGTAACAGCCAGGACACAGGCTTAAAAAAAAAACACAACCAAACCCTGTCGGTGTGTCAGATTTCATATTTCAGTAAGTAGATTTCTCTTCTTGTCTGTGAGACGTGAGATGGGAAGATGGTGAGCGCATGACATTTAAGTGCTAGACCTGGTGACCATATTTATTCCATGTCATTTCCTCCCATTGGTTTCTTGTTAAGAAGAAGTTTTCTGTAAAATAGTTTTGAAACCAGGTGGGCTCTGTGAGTTTTGCAGGATAGTGAAAGCCAAAGCAGGCAGTGATCGCACTGGGGCTGAGAAGGATCCCGTGCATCTAGGGTTAATCTCCAGTGAAGGATCTACTTTAGTACGTGACTGGCAGCATGTGGAGGGTCAAGCAATTAGCTGAGAAGGAAGACTGCTGGCCGTGGCTTTGAATGAGAGTTTTGGGCCATTGAATAGAGACATCAATCTTTGAAGCAGTCTTGGGAAGATGCTTCCCATGATGGAGTCTGCAAACTTTATCAGAGATACAGCAGATGTGTTGGAAACCTTGTCCTGGTGGCGCACCTCATTCTGTGCAGGGCACAAGGCAATCTCCTTCCTGCAAAGGTGATAGTTTAGTGAGGCCATGAAGAGAGAAGCACTTACTGTAACTTCTCTTCAACAGCATCTACAGTCATTTACTTCCTTAGGAACAGACAAGTGATGCTTTCCATGCTACTGTCCTTTCTTTTAACTACTATCACCATCTCCACAAGACCACTGCGTCTGATATGCTTAACTCCTTCCAGTCCAGTACTGAATGTTGCAGCCTTGCTAATGAGATTATGAGATTTATGATTGTAAATCTCTAAGCCTCACTTTAAACCTTTAAATTACTGTAATGCCTCTTATCTTTTAGGGGAAATCATTGGTTAGTGATAGCATGCCTTTTGTTCAAATGGAAGAATCCTTTGAAAGTATGACTTTACTCCAAGATATTCCTGTTCTTTCAAAAACTAAATTATTCTCACTTGCATGTAAGTTATGAACTTGTCTATTTAAGATAGATGAGAGAAAGCAAACATGAAAACAAGCAGATCAAAGATGTACATGAGTCTTTAATCTTGTCCTTTCCCCTTGAAGAATGTGCAAAAAAGAACTGAGACATTTCATTAGTTTAAGTAATGATAATGATGAAAAGAATCACAAGCAATTCCTGAAGCAGGACATAATGGCTGTTGTCTTGCTGTATGTTATCAGTCTGTCTTTGATTTACATTAAAGAAACAAATAGCTGGCAAGAAATGTTTCCAACTCTTGTCTGATCCCTTTATTTAAGGGAGACAGTGAGAAAAATGTACCACAGAAAAGATGTTGTATAACTACAAGATACTCCCTCACATATAATAATTAGTTATCCTGGAAAACTCCTATGTACATCTCGTATGATAGCCAACATAATTTTCACCTCTTTAGCCAGATATGAAATTGCTCTCTGCTCTCAGTGTTGCATGCATTTTGTCAGTCTTCCATGTCTTTCCAATCCAGTAAGCTTACTCTCTAAATTTAATTCAGTGATTTTAATTGAATCTGAAGAACAAAGTGGTAATTTATTAATCGTATCTGTATGATGATTAGGTCTCAATTTACAAACTACATCCAGCTTCCTTCCATTTTTGGCTTCATGCTGTCACCCCCTCCAGCTGGAAACCCTTCCTGTTGACAGTCTCCTCTGAACTCCGGCACAAGCAGTGTTCCCAGCCCAAAAAGTTGAATGTCTTCTGAGTCACCAAGCTTTTACGTCTCCCTCCTATCTAATAACACATGGCTGGAAACATAGATGGGGAGGGGAGGCGAAGAGAAGAGTTTAAGTCATTTATTGGTGGCAAATTGGGATCCACTGTATCATGAACTGTTAGAAAACAGACAAGGAGACATCGGAGTAGGTGCTGCTGCATGAAACTGTACAAGAAAGGCATGAAAAAACTGGAAACAGCCCAGAGGAGGATCACCAGTATGGTCTGGGGACAGGAGCACACGATATCTGAGGAGGGGCAGAGGCAGCTCGGCTTGCTACGCTGGAAGAGGAGCAGAGGAGGAGGAAGGACTCTACTTGCAGCTTTCAGCTGCATAACTGGTGGTTGGAGAGGAGCCAGAGTCAGTCTTTTCTCGGAGGTGCACGGAGAGAGGACAAGGGTAATGGTCACAAATTACAACAAGGGAAATTCCATCTGTATGTTAAAAAAAAAAAAAAAAGGCTGTGAGAGTGGTTAAGCGCTGGAACAAATTATCCACAGAGGTTGTGAAATCTCCCTTTCTGGAGATATTCAAAACTTAACTGGACACAGCTCTGACTTTGAAGTTGACACAGCCTTGAGCAAGGGATGGGAGTACATGACCTTTCAAAGACCTTTCCAGCCTGTGAGTCTGTCTCCAGATCACCTCATTGTTGGGTTAACACAAGTGAGCAGCAAAGTCCTTGGAGTGCACTGATCAAGTCAAAAGCTCAGTAGCACAGGGTGCAGAGGTAGCTCTGCTGAGCAGTGGTTGTATGAAATGCTCCATGGTGTTCTCAGCCTCTTGCGAGCGGCAGGCATCTCCATGTTCAGCGTTTGAGAACAGGGTGTTTTGCATCAGGCTGTACATACTTTAATCCTGAGTGGCTGTGACCCTGCCAGCACCAGTAACAGTGTTTTGGAAATATGGGAGAACAGTCAGAAACATCACGTGGTTAGCAATTCGTGGTCCATTGGAGGGAAAGATAGAAAGATAAAGAACAGGTAAATGGTTATATATGGAGAGGATGTTACTGCAGGACTATATAGTGCTTTACCTGTGAGAAACGGCGGATGCTTTTGCCTCATTTTTATACCTTGCATTGCTCCTATAAAGTAGGCAACTCTGTATTGCAGGAAAAGAAAACAGCAGAGATTATTCATGTTTTTCGTGGTTAACAAATTAACAGCTCGCTTTCAGCGCTTACGTCTTGCTGAAGATCATGAACTAGTTCTGTAACAACGTAAGAATAAAGATCTTCTGAATCTTAAGTCCAGTGTTCACTCTGTTTACTAGTCCAGGCCTCATTTAATAATGTATTTTTTACAAGTGTCATTAAAAAAAAGAGAGGGAAGAAGTAGGATACCCAAATAGTGGATTCGTACGTACATTGCTACTCACTGGAATAGTAAATTGCTGTCGTGTAGCATCACAATGTGCTCACATGCAGTCTTCACTCTCACTCCGTTAGAGTAGCTTTGCCTCATCAGCCTTGAGTTTCCAGCAAGCCTAGAATACCTACTGTGTCCTTATTGTGAATAACAGTATGATGAGCTCATCTGTTTATATTTATACAGCACTGTCCTGTTCCATGTACAATCACTTCAGATTATTAAGAAGCCTAGGGAGAAAAGGTGATGATTTCTGCATGAAGAGATACTCTTTGCTTAAGAGCAAATTTTGTATTACAGCGCCGGCTTGGAGATGCTGCAAAGAAAGCAATCAGCAAGCTGCAAGTCAGAACAATCAGGAAAGGTGATAAGGTAATCTTTCAAATTGCTCATTACCAAATGAAATTCTGTGCTGAGGATTCCTTCAGACCACTGGGACAATGAGGCAGAACAGAAATGGCAATTGCTTATTTAGCTGCTATGTGTCCTTCAGGCGGGAAGAAATAGTGGTAAGCAATTTATGGATGGAATGGAGTAGAGAGAGAAGAAGGTGACTCTGTGAAGATGCAGAAAATCCTGAAAGTTAAAACATGCTAACTAAATCTGCATGCTTCCCAGAGCAAGTTTCCAACTGGAAACACGTTGGTAAATCTGACTTGCTTGTCTTGAAATGCATTATTGGATTTGCAGCATCCATCAGTGACTGTTTTACTTTGTCACATAGGCTCTTGTATGAAGAAATTAGCTGACAAAATCAAAAAATGAAAATTATGAATGTTCTCTTTCCTGTAGGAAACTGAGCCAGACTTTGATAACTGTGCTGTTTGTATTGAAGGCTACAAGCCCAATGATGTTGTCAGAATTTTGCCTTGCAGGTAAGTTGAAGGTGCTTTTAGCTCTGATAGTCTCTCTACTTCAAGACAGGCTTTGTTGTCACGGTATCACGCTGATGAAATTACCTGAGAGCTTGGGGAGGGAAGGACGAGTTTATCATTTTGATTTATTCAAAATCTGTTGGTAAAGATATCTGAAATGCCTCTTTAGTCAACTTGAAGTGAAAGCAGTATTAATGGTGATGAGAACCTGAGTTTAGCATGATAGTCTGATCTGAACCTATTACAAAGTCTTCAGTAGGATTTTAAAACTAAAGATTTTGATTCCTCTTTCTTACTGGTTTTATATCGGTCCAGAATAAGTGCCACAGAAGGATTTGCCCCTGACTTTAAGGTGAGCCCTGGGCACAGCAACCAGGGATAGAGCTCTTCATGGAGCTGCTTCTTTTGCTGTTCTGAGCCATGTCCAGGCACTGAGAAAGGGATGACTTCTATCAGAAAAAAAACCCCAAAACCCAGCTATGAAAAGAGATATGCTGAGTAGAAACAGTAAAGCAAAAAGGGAATGTGACAGAGACCACATTGTCTGTTGTTGCCATGAAAATGTTCTCAGGCATGTGGGACATGGAGGTGACAAGAAGAGCTTGTTCTTTCTCTTTTCTTCCCCTCATGTGAATGTGCCCCGTGCAGCACATACATTCGCAGCGATGTAACAAAGGAGCACAGCTTCTTGCCACCCGTAATGGCTGTGTTCATCTCTCTGTGCCGCTGTATTGTCATCTGCGAAGTGTTAGCTAATGAAGGACTTGTCTAAGGAAATCAATTTTTTTAGGAAATTTCCTAGGAACAGTGGTTCCCCTGGGAGAGCAAGTGTTTGATTTCCCTAGAAATAGGAATCTCAAGTGCTGTACATACAGAGCAGAGGGGTTTTTTTTAATAGAGTTTCTTCTCCTGCAGACATGTTAACTGGCTTGAGAAACTGAAATATTTGTTTCTTTTCTTGCTATGTTGTTCCCTAGTAGATATTTGAATGTTACAAGCTGTCCATTTCTGTTCGTTCATGTGACTCATTAAATCTGTTTACTGCCATCGCTAAATGGCAAACAAAAAGCAACAGATTAATCATAAATTTGACCTACTGTAAATCCCCCACAATGACAAATTGCCTATGAACTCTTTTTTTTTTTTTTTTTTTTTTTTTTGTGGACACTCAAATGCATCACTTCATGAAGCAGAAATGCAGAGAAATTAGAAAATACCAGAAAATATAGACCTTGGTTTGACATGAAGCCTGTTTTCAAAGAAGCTTAATAAAGCTTGGAAATTTTGCATGATAGAGACAGGCAGATTTTGGAGGTAGTTATACAACAGCAAAAAATATGTCTGAGCTCTAGCTTTCACTTGTGTCTCGCCTCATAATTCAACGAGGCTCCAGTCAGACTTTGTCATCCAGTGTTGAGTCAAGCAGGAATAGGAAACACATAGTTAACAGGTGATGTTCAGTTCTTGGCTGACTTAAAAGGTCACCTAGAAAATGACTCATGCTAAAAGGGTAGCAGCAGCAGAACTGTCTTGTAAAATACTCACAGTTTGAGCCTCAGCAATTTTGAATGATAAAAACTCAAAGATCTTTCTCAAGCAGCTACTTCACAAACCCTGGCTTTCCTGCTACACAAATTGTGAGGGCAATATTTTACACGTTCGCATGGGTTTGGACTTCCAAAACAGGGAACGGTAGTCATGATTCTTTCTGCTGTTGTCAGTCTCATCTCCTCATCAACTCTCCCCCCCTCCCATTTCTGTCTCTGTTGACTGAGTAGGAGAGTGTTATATCTTGATAAAGACCTACAGACTCTGTAGGTTTCTTCCTCCAGCATCCTCAGTTAAACTGTGTGCAGTTTGTGGTATGGAAACCTCATTAGACTGCTGTTTAATAAGAGGCTGACATTTCACCAAGCCTTACAGAAGCCAGCGCCGTATGACAGCAGTGCTGGCTGACCTTAGTGTTTCTATCCGGGAGGTACTCGAGATGTAGGACTTTTTTACCTGCAAAGCCAAATACACCCCAGGAGCTGCACATGAAAGATGCTGCTTTGTACTGCAGGTTTTCCCAGGCGGTACTGGGAAAACCACTGCTAGCAGGCACACTCTGTATAAAGCCCTGTATATCTTGCGATTTCTTTTTAAGGCTGGTAGAGCCTTACTCTCCTAAGAAATTGGTACCAAAAATCCACCAATTAATTTTGCAGTGGTTGAACTCTGATGTCCTACAGAAACAGATTTGCTAGTACTTAGGCTGTTTCCCCAAATGTCCTCTCTTTTCGGCTGGCAGAGAGCCGGCGCTGGGATAGCCTGTTGTTACGTATCCCACCCTGGAGAGCTAGGAGGAGAATTCCAGTTAACTTGCCCTTCTTCCCCTCTGTCCTCTTTAGCTCCTACAACTGACTGTATTAATAAACTTCACTCTGCAGAATGTATTAAATAAATAAGGACTGACACTTGATTAAAAAAACCCCACAGTGTTGGCTTGCAGCTGGTTTTATGTTTAATGGTAGCAAGCAGCACTGAAGTTATCTTTGAGGGCACTGACACAACATCAAATGTAACCAAGTTCATTGTTCCCAGAGTGACATCTCTTGTCATAGCCCTCGTTCCTTGTCCTTGTCCTCCATCTCTAGCTTCAAAACGCCTTCGTCTCTTCTGCTCTGGCTTTGGAGAAGTTACTGGTGCTGCTGCTCCCAGTGTGTGCCTTTTACTAAACTTTTCCTGACTTTACTAAACTTCTACAGAGAGGCAAGACAATTCTTTCAACATCATCTCTACTGAGTTCTTCATAAGCTCTTTTTTTGGTTGTTTCATTTCTGTTGCCAATAAACACACTTTCTGCCCTGTTCCAGCTTGTTCCCTTCCCCTGAACCTTCGCTCCATGAACAACTGTGATTTCAGAGACTGCTTCACTCCTCCTTTCTCTTTTTCTCAGCATTCTGTGAAAATTATTTCATCACACACTTTCTTCCCTTTGATTCCTTCCTCTCACCCTCATCATCATCTTCTTTTGTCATTCTTTCTTCCTCAGAAATAAACAATACCATACATGCACCTCCAAAAGCCCAAGCCTTCTCGTTGAATACTGTAGTGTTGCTCAGTCTCTCACCAAAATCTCAATCTTCTGCTTCAGCCCTATGTCTAATGCAGGCAACTGATGCTCTTACTCAGGGTCCTTAGGGATATACCTCTTTCTGCTTTTGCCTCCTTTTCTCTTAGCTCACACTTTTCTTCTGAGAAAAATTGCATGACTGCTAGGTTTGTTTGCATGCAGTTTGGAAAGTCGGGACTAGGAGTAGAAGGTGGGAGAACAGTTTCCCTTAACCTGGAAAAAAGCTTCTCAAAATTGTTGGCAAGCTGAAAGCTTTACAGTAGTTTTACAACAATCAAATTATTATTATTATTATTTTGGGCTGAGCTTGAAATGATATTTTTTTTCTTGTATGATTAAAATTGCAGCTTTAAAGAAAGTTTAAATACATTTCAAACAAAAGTAATCTCCAGTTAAAAGAATATGAAGTGCTATTTAGATAATAGTAAATAAAATGCTCTGGGATTTTGAGGTTCTTTTTCTTTCTTTGTGCTCTGTGAGCTTTACACAGCCGCGTGCAGTCACAGAGCTGCAGCAGAGTGCAGGAGGGATCCCAGGAGGCCACCACCTCTGGAATGACACAGGGCCGCCAGCCGTGCACGTGTCATTCTTGGGAGTTTTTTCCAACACACTCTGCAGTCTCCCGGGATGAAGACTCTGCAAACTCCCTTGATAATTTATTGCAGTGCTTCACTACCCCTGACTGTGGTGAAGCTTTTCCTGTTGTGTGACCTGGATCTCACCTGCTGCAATTTAAACACATCATTGTGTCTCTTACCCCTAGGAGAGGTGAAGAACAGTTGTTTCCTTTCTCCTTATGGAAGCCTTCATTTTGCATGAGGATTGTTACAACATCTCCTCTCCACTTGCCTTCCTGTCTCTCGACTAATTGATTACAGTTCTTTTGAGAAACTTTTCAACCCATCCAAATCAACATGGTTTTGCAATGCATGTGGTTGCACACAACAGGAAAAAACTCTATATTCTTTTCTAGCTCTGACTTTGATTGTCAAAGACATGTCTCGAGCCTGTGCTTGAAACATCTCTCTTACTGTGTCCCTGTGTGGGTCATTACTTCTGGACTCATCCATGATGCCTCTGCCCTTTCCTTCTACAACTTGTGTCAGTCAGAACTGCAGAGGGAGAGGGATTTTTGTGGCAGTTGATCTTTTTACATCTTGGTCTTACCAGGTAACAGTGAAATATTGCAGTTGGTCTCTCATCTTACTTTGTGCTGACCCTTATTTTGCCTGAATTTACATGATAAACTTATCAGGACATCAAACAATTCACAATTTTTTGAAAGCTATAGGCATGTATATAGTGCTGTAGCTAATAACGTATAAAATAAACTTTCAAATCCAAATCTGCAAAGCCTACCACCTCAATTCTCTGCACAAATGTTTACATGTTTTAAAATAGCTATTATGAGCACTCTTATTATATAATGTGGTACAAAAATTTAAAAATCAAATCTTTATCTGATTTTCAGTAACATTGCATTTTTCTGTACATTTCTGTCAAATAATCAAGTTCCTTCTGTTGTACATATTAAATCTGAAATTAATAGAGCCATAACACACTGTGCTAATTTATTATTGAGAAGTGCAAAGTGACATGATCTGTCATGTATTTAAATTACTCTGCATTGGTAGGGTTTCTTTCAGAATATTGTTTTTTGAAGCCAACTTTAGGAACACTAAACTTCAGGTTTTTAAAGTCTTTAAGGCATGAAAGTTCCAAGCTTCTGGTGATTAACAAACGTTATGAAATGCTGTAATACGAACCACAGCTTGACTGAGGCTTGCAAAGCTTGAACTTGAAAACAAAAGGAAACTTTCTAGTCTGTGGTAAAATGGCTTGATAGAAGTTACGTATTTTTTATCCGAAACAGAATTTGGAAAACTGTTTTTTTCAAGAGAATAATAAATATCTCAGATTTTGTAAATGAACTGATTATTTTGGCACAAATTTCCTTCAGATGTTTGCAGTTAAACATACTTGTTTATGATTTTGAGTATATATTTGAAGAAAACCTATCACTATCAAGAGTTTCATAGTTCTTTCAAATAGCTGAAAAGCAAGACATTGACTTTCAGTACCCTCTGTAAATTAACACACCCAAGGAATTCTGTTGGTTAGACTTCTAAATGTAAAATTACACATGCCTGAGGACTGTATCTTTATGTTTTCACCTATTCAGAATGCTTGCCTGATGATGTGCTGAACACGTCCCTCCTGAGATAAAGGGAAGGAAGGGTTATGCAGGACAGACACCGAAATGTGGTCCATTGTGTTTTTACCCAGTAAAGCAAGTCTTGTTTGGAAGGAAGGTTGTGAACTTTAGTAGCCTTAGTAAAGTAGTTGTTTAAACCTCAAGTATCACAGTACTTCATTTGTGTTAATCATGTTGACATACAGGATCAGATGAGGTTTGACAAAGTTTGGTATTGCAGCCAACTGATATAATTAGACTAGGTCAAACTTCCAAGAACAGATTTGCCCTTTCCCATAGTTGTGTGAAGTCAGATCAAGTACAGGAATGTGATAATTTGCCATGTAATTTTGTTTCACAAAGGACCCATTTCTTCTAGAAGTAGCAAGAAAAAACATTGCAGTGAAAAGAATAAGATTCTGAGATTTCACACAGTTTGGGCTTTGAATTTCTAGTGTTATTTAGGACTGAAGCCAGCTAGTAAGCCAGCCAGTTAGTATGTGGGCCGATACCACGTTAGTAAGAGCCAGGGTTGCAAATCAATAATAGTGAAAGTGCGCCTCAGTATCGTCCATCAAATTGAAAGGCCATGTGTGTCTTGTTGTGTGAGAGAGGCCGTGACACAATACAGCAGTTGACCTATTCAGCTGAATACGTACCACTTAAATATTTAAAATTATTTTGGTGCGTTAAGTGATTCTGGCTTTCTCAGAGATTGCATTTCCTCGTGGAGGCTGGTACGTGCCCTGCTCCAGGCTGTGTCCACTCGCAGTTACCTGGTGGGTTTGTGTGGCTGACCTGTACGACGATGCACGTGGGGCAGTGACAGCGCGGGGAAACACAGGCTGGGGACTGCCCAGATGTAAACGTTCAAGCAGGCTGAAAAGTGGCTTTCACGCCATGCCAAGTAAAATGCAAGACACCTGTTGCAAGCCATGTTGAAAGGACATTTAGAGCTGATCTATATGGTGTTTCAGAACAAGCAAACTTAGCTTGCACCTTTTGGAGCAAGACCGTATGTATATCAAGCCTCATATTTCAGAATAAAATACCCTCTTTCAATTTTGCTTAAGTTATTACCATTTTTAAGTTATATTAGGAAGTCGGACTAAGGTCCCTTCCAACTGCACTACTCCATTCAATTAATTGACTAAAAAAGATTTTTAGGAAGGCAAGTCAATTTTCATTTTCCTACATGCCAGTGTAATTTCTGAGGCTGCATGCATGGTAGGAAACTTTCCTCCTTTTCTTCAGAAGGAGTGGGGCTGAACAAACTTCACTGCCTTGGGCTGAGCCCTGACTCCTCTACTTGGCCTACTCAACAGCATTTCCCAAATCCCGAGCCCCACGTTCCTGCGGTTTATAACATTTGTTCTTTATAACCACAGGGTAACAGAACATGCTCGCAAGAGAAAATACAATCTGTCAGTCAGGTACACGCACTAAATATCTCTATATTCAATCTCAGTTTGTGTCAGGTGGAGTTAGACAAGAAGCTTTCAGTTCCTCCACCTGGACAGTGTCTAAGAAAAGTGGCCCCCAGCAGCTCCAGGGCTCAGGTAGTTGCTTAATGGTCACATCAGACTGAGCACAGGATTAGCAACAAGCCCTTCAGGGCTGGAATTCTTTAAGAACTCACTCTGATGGGCAGCTTCTAAAGAGCGGGAAGGTCAGGGAAAATGTATTAAAAAGCATCATCCTGTGGGGTTTGGGTTTTTTGTTTTTTTTTTTTTTCAATTAAATGATAAGTAGCATTTTTTTTAATTCAGTTAATTTCCTTATGCCTGCATCCTAAAAAAAGTCACAGACCCCCAGTGACTTCACATTTAAATTATGTGTAATCAGGTTTGTCTGTAGAACCATCAAGAAATACTAATGTGATTTTTACCTTTACCACCAAGCAGGTTTTGTGTACTGACAGCCTTTAACATTTAAAGAATATGGGTTTTGCTGATGCATTTTGTGTATGTTTCCTAATTCTCTAATTGTGAACATGGTTTCTTTTCCAAACTTGGTTGAGCAACACGTGCACATGTGCTTGAGATGCTGCAGAAATAATTTTAGTCTTGTGTGCACAGGATATAGTTCTGCAGTCCTTGCAGAGGTTGCAAACCATGCCATTTGAAATATTCTCACTTTACTGAATTCAGAAGAAGTATCTGGTACTAACTGGTAAATTGTGCTGTGGTGGATTTGAATTAAAATATCCTGGTTTTCATTGCAGGCATCTTTTCCACAAATCCTGTGTAGACCCCTGGCTGCTAGACCATCGCACCTGCCCGATGTGTAAAATGAATATTCTAAAAGCTCTAGGGATTCCGGTAAGCACGTCGCAGAGCGGCTGGTCGGGGCAGAAGGGAAACACCAGCTACTTGAGGATATCCCTAGCCCTTTGCCTGTTTGTTCCCAATCTACTCTTCTTGCCATGTGATTTATTTATTAATTGGTTTATTATGGGGAGTACAAGCTGAAATGTCTGACTCTACCTCTCTTCTGCACCCTACTTTTATTAGCAAGGAAAAGAGTGTGTATGGGGGTTCGTTGGGTGTTGGGATTTGTGTGTGTGTGGTTGCCTGCTTTGTGGAGCAGATTGTTTACTGGTGTTTTGGTGGATTTATAGATTCTTTCACATAGCTTTTGTTTGTGTTTTAAATCAGGACTGGATTTATTTTTTTAATCATGCTCTCAGTTCACATCTCAAAGCAGAAGGTCTGCAAATAAAATTTTCCCTGCTATACTAGTTGAGGACAACTAATTGGTCATTCTGGGGAGCCAAATCTTTTTTCTGTCAGATTTCTCTTAAAGTCTATCTGTAGCAAGCTCTGTACTCCTAATTCCAATTAGGGAGCATTTCTCCCAGTTACTAAACATGTGGTGAGCCACATGACACACAAGAAATTGTTAAGCTCTTTGTTATTTGGAGCATTCAGATGTGCTTAGAAGCTGCCAAAGCAACTGATCTTTCTAGGCTGCGTGTTTACATTCAGATAGGGCATATCTGCCATACAGTTTCCGAACCTCGGCTATCACAGAGATGAGGGGCTTCACCAGGAAGAAATGAGTAACTTTCCCACACTGTGCAAGGCTTGCCGTGAGATGGTGAAGTTCAATACTGAAACATAGTGATGCGTTAACAGGTGCTGTAAATACCCTCCACAGTTACAGATGGTGACGTGCCAGCTCACATATGAAAGAGCTATATAAAGTAAAACAGCTCATGTGAACACAGCTGATGCAGCCATTCCCCAAGAGTTCATTTTCATGGAGACTAGGAAGCCAAGCAGGTTGCTGCAGAAGAGGTTCCACAGCAAGTGATGAAGTATGTTTTTACTGAAGTAGGCAGCTATGTTAATCAACCTAATATAATCCAAGCTAAAAACATACAACGGGAAAAATTAAATAGAGCATTGTAGTTAGGATCACCGTTGGGCTACTTTTTCTTCTAAACATGTGTATTATCTTTAGAATATTAAAAGGTGATGCAACTGTTAAATCAGTATTTGAGATGTCAGGAAAGGCCAGAATGAAGGCTGGCTCTGCCATTCAGCATCTCTGCACCTAGGCTTAAATACAGAAATTTTTCCCCAGGTTTCATGTCTCAGTTCACTAGCCTGCCAGTGAGCAGTAACCCAGCATTTGGACACCTCTTCTTCATACCCAGTATATTGTTCCATGGCCGCCTTCTGCATCATGCAGGACCACATGATATCTGCTCTCATATTGGTCCATTGACATTTTTGCCTAAGCATTTCATTAACACACTCTTCATCCAGCTTCATAATCAGGGGATATAGACAAATCAGACCTCCGCTTTTTGGAGGCTTGCAGTGAGATGTTAAGGTCTTTCCAGAAAGTTTGGTACCATTAGGGGCTACTTCCAGAATGCGGCTCTCACTGACTTCACTGACAGCAGCTGAAGGCTAGGCGCATCCACAGACTCTCTCTCTGTATGTCGCGGGGACGGGAAAACAGAGGCCGCTGTAAAAGCCAGACTGGCTTTTACTACGTATGAACAGCTCTGTAGTGGCAGGTATAGAACCTAATTGCTACAAATAATGAAAAGTGCCACTCAGTTTCCTCAGTCATCATTTCTCTTCTCACAGCTCCCTGTCTTATTCTCCCTGTACCACGTAGCAGAAGGGGGATCCATCCCCTCACTGAAAGCTTTCCGCATAGAAATAATTGTACTGGGCATGTAATTAAAGATACTGCTGTAACCAACATAAACAACGGGGTCAAATTAAGATTTCAGAATCAGCCTTAGTGCTGGTCTGTCTTAACGCTAAAAATCGAGCGCTTGGATGTTAATGTTCCACTAGCAAAGTGTGTCTAGAGGATTTTATTGTTTGAATTTCTGTCAATATTTCCCTAGTTGTTCTAAGACAACAAACTGAAGACAGCCCACTCCATCATTTGGAGAAATCGTACTGGATCCCACCCGCAAGGATCATCAGTTAGGTTCATGAAGGGAGAGCTGCATGCTAGAGCCTTACCCCTTGAGGTGACTTACAGTAGGAGCTGTTGTCCGTGGGAACTGGGAGCAGATGGTAGCCTCCATGTCAGGGGTTTCCTGTGGCTGACAGCAAAGGAAGTGGGAGTCTAAGAGCATCTGGTAGCTTGGGGGTTAAAAATGCCTTTATTGCAATCAGTTGCTCTTCATCCTCTGTTTTCTCTGCCTTCTCTTTCTAAAATATGCCTCGACTCCTGCTTCTCCCTCTCCTACCTCATTCCCTTTCCTGCTTCTCCTCTACATAACCCCTCCTGCCCCATCTTTATCCTTGTGAGCTCCTGCCTCCTACGCCTCGTGCTCCCTGCTCAGCTTGCAGGACCTGCTCTCCACCCACACAGAAATTGTGTGTCCTCACCCTTCCCTCTGCCTGGCATCAGCTGAGGGCAGTCCAGGGTGGGCATCGGTCCTGTGGGTGCTTTCTGGTGCCACTGTGAGCTTGCAGGCACCATGCAAAGCCCTTTTCTTTTTGGAGAGCGTAGTTGTCGGTCCCAGGTAAGCCACCAGTCTCTATCAGCACGCATGAATTGATATTTTCAGAGGCTCGTAACTTAGCCAGATGTCAGTAGCCTGTTGTGGGAAAGGACATTTCCCTGGAAGAAGCTGTAAAGCTCTAGGGGTTCTCAGTTGAGAGGTGGCAAACACTTCTGTAGAGTGGATAAAACAAAACACTATTCGCTAATCACATTCTTGAGTCTTGCTGAGCCATCTTAGCTGAAATTTCCCACACAGGAAAGCAGCCTTAGGCAAGCAGCATGGGAGACTTGAGCGCAAATTTGCTAAAGTCCTTTTGCAGGCTTTTACAATGGGAGGAATGAGGAAAGCTAACCATAGGCAAGGCCAATATGGTTTTTTTTCCTGCCAGCTGCATGTTTGTCCTATGGTTGTTATTAAAGAGCTGACTTGTGTGATTGTGGTTATATTGTGCTTCATTTAGCAGGAAGACTCGGGATTTTCCAGGAAATGATTGGTTAAACCCCATATATCTAAATTGTTCAATTCAGTTCACATCTAAACTCTCCATGTACTTTGTAACAGAGATTTTAAATAATATCTGCCCTAAAACCAGATTCCCCAGGCTGCCATGAGGCACCAAAGTGACTGCATTCGTTTTCATGGTAGGTGAGCATCCTAACATCTCCGCTTTTCACCATGGTTCTCTGCAAATCCGGAGGATTATTAACGATCTGTCAGCAAACTCTTGGCATAACCTTTTCCACTGTCTCTTTGCTGGTGAATTCAGCTCAGACTATACCTCTTTTGGCTATAATATTTGAAGTGAATTATTAGTGAAAGTGTCTTTCACTTTCAAAGAGCTACATTGCTATTGGGATGATTGTATCACATAAAATAGTTTCCCTCTGCTTCTCCCCCTTTTCTGCAAATATCTGCTGGATATGCAGACAGCTGCAATTTTGGCAGCAGATTGGATGACTTGAAGCTATTCACTAAGAGCCTTAGCCAAGTCCTCAGAAGTCAATACAAAGCCTTCCCTTGACTTTAGTGGAATTGTGCCCTCAAAGCACTTACATGCAGGGAATGAGTGAAACCAATATAATTAAACTTAGCAAATGTATCTGGGTCACTCTGACAGCAGAAGCTATAATGTACTTTTTTCGATCAGTATTTCATATCATTAGTTTTATAGTATGCTGCTTAGTTTGGGGTATTTTTTCCAACTAAAATGATTCAGGAGTAAAGGGATTCATTATATCGAGCAATGCTATTTTTGCATCTTTAATATTTGGTTTGGCTTTCAATTATAATCCCCCATTTTTAAAGGTTTAAAATTTAGTGATAAAACCCCACTCTAGGAATAACTGGAATCAGAGCAAAGGACAGACAACTGGTCCCCTGAAAAAAAATGTGAAATAGTTTTTCCTAGAGTAGAAAAGAAAAAACAGCCTTTTTTCTTTAAGATACACTGCCATCAAAGCCAAATTTAAGTTAAAAATGAAATGCTGAAAGCATTTGTTACACCAGCTTGAGTCATAGATCTGAGGAATAATTTTTGGATCCAAGCCCTACAGATAAATGATTGGTGTTTCACTTAGAAAAGTACAGGTTCAATGAGTTTCATTAAAACCTGGTATAGCCGAATGTGCCTTTATCACACTTCTGAGGAGCGCTCTCTGCTTGTGGATTAGCCTGGAGCCAGACGATGACAACTCTAATTTTCATCTGAAACTTCAGTTTGTGGATACATGTCACCTGAGGATTGTTTAAAATGCCTACCTTTTTCATTAGGAACATTTGTGAAAAGATATTTATGAGGTGGCAACAATCAGACAGGGAATGTATGGGAAAAGAGAAAACATGCTAAGTTCCTGGTTCTGCAAAAAATGTAAGCATATGGTAACCTCCTATGCCTGAGTTCAAAGGGATTACTCTTGTGCTTAAAGCTAAGCCTCTGTTTAAGTCTTTGCTGTATCATATTTTGCTTCATTTCTAGGGGCCTGCTGTTGGAGATCGGCAGGTAGTGAGATTTTTAAAAATGCAGGTGAGATAACTAAGCGTAGCAAAAGTCAGATCCTCAGAGTACACGTCCTCTGACTTCAGCCATCCAGACACTGCATTTCCAATCTAGCAGCTGAAGCCTCATCTCTGCTCAGTGCTGAGCAGTGGAAGGCAGAGGGGGGTAGTTCATACCACTGACCTTAGGGTAGGATGAATCACACAGCGAAACTGTCTCAAACTGTTGAAGTTAGAGGAAACCTAAGTGACTGATCCAGATGAGCTGTCTGACTCCTGGACAATAAAGATAAATGGGAACAACTTAACTGTATGTTTCTGAGCTTAACAAGGTATCTGCGTAATTGTAGCTCAACCTTGCTATGTCCCTCTGTCGTTTGGGAAGCTTTGCACCCCGACACACAGCATCCTCATTTCTAAATTAGCCTTGGTTTTGTTACAGTATGTTAAAACTTCAAAACCCAGTTCTTGAAATAGTTATGCAAACAATTTTTCTCCATGCCTTGGGGAAAACTAGACCTGGTTCTATGGGCAAATGGTGCAACAATCTGTTTCCTCTTAGAGGAAAAAGAGGGTTTTTTTACTCGTGTTTGTCACCGGTGTTTATGGGGACCTCCATAGAAATCACTGCTGTATGAATGGGAGCATCAGGCTTGTAACAGGCCCAGAGAAATCAGGGGTGTAAACTAGTCTTGGATATAGTGTCTCTGGACAAACAATCCTCTTTGCCGCCCAGTGCCCACTTGAAGACTCAGTGCTCTTTGTGAACAGGCACTCAGTGCTAAGGATACTGTGTAAAGGGTAGGCACCACAACCCCCCTCGTTGCTCCCCTATGAGGTCAGTGGAAAGGCAGACACTTGACTTGAAGAGCTTGGCTCGTTCTGGAGGTGTTAGTGCGTTCGCTATATAGCTGCAAGAGAGAGGTGTCTAAATTCCCCAGAACTGGGTTCCATCCTTGGTCTCTCTGAATCAGAAAGCAAGAAAGCCTATGGATCGAATAATACTCTTCAAATACCCATTATTGCTTGTTTGTTTCTTTTCTCCTAATTTTATTTTGTAGGAAATACAGCATTAGCAAAGGAAAAGATCTTTTGATGCTAAAAAATTGTCTTATAAGCAGCCTTAGCTTCTGTTTTTGGACCCCACACATAATGCGCCCACAGGCAGTTCCCTTGATTCCTGTTCCTGAAAGCTCTGATATTGGCTCTATAAAATACATATTTAGGGAAAGGATAATCATTCCCCTTCAGCTACTGTCTCTGTTTACATTTGTAATCTGACTCAGCAATCTGCCTATGTTAAGCAGATCATATCAATGAGTGACTTACTTTTTAAATGTGCACTCTCCCAAACTTTTTAAAAGTATAAGTAAGAATGTTTAGAGATTGTAGGTCACACAGTTTAATACTGAATATTTCCAATGCATACTTTGGGTCTCTCTTGCAACAGATTGTATTAAGAAGTTTTAAGTGCATGAAAACAAACAAACTGTGCGTGTTTATTCATCATATGTTGCCATTTTCAGTACTGAAAGTGAAAAGCCCTAAAGAAGTGGGAACAGGGAAATTGAATCTTTTTATCAAGTAAAAGCTCAATTTTCTTCTTTTTCTTCCCATTAGCCAAATGCAGATTGCATGGATGATATACCTCCAGACTTGGAAGCATCCATAGGAGGACCGCCAACTAACCAGATAACGGGAGCCAGCGATATAACAGTGAACGAGAGCTCTGTAGCCCTGGATCCCCCGGTGCGGACTGTGGGAGTACTACAAGTCATCCAAGACGTAGACTCCTTTCCCCAGGTTGGGGAGGGTAACTTCACAACAAGCAGTAAGTTCCTCTTTCTGGCAGAATTTGCACTGAAATAAATGTTTAGAAACCCAAATCACAAACCCATCTCTAGTGTGGGAAAAATTACCTTTGAGGGCTTTTTCACTGGAGCAATGGCCTTACTGTAAGCCCAGCGGAAATCTACAGGGTAAGTAAATTTAAATATCATGTTGCTCTGCTGTACTGCAAACAATTCCAGCCTGTGTGCAAATCAGCGTGTTGAACAGCAAACTCTCTCCCTGCATAGAAAAAGCTATTTCAGTCAACAATATAAACTTATGGTCATGTTCAGATACTGTTTATAGTAAGTGATTCCATTCACCATGATAACCCGCCATGTATCACCTGGCTTCTTTGTGAAGCAGTTTGGTGCATGTCCTTTGACTTGCCTGTCCTCGCTGGGCTACATGTTATTATGTGGAATTTATTCTTACCTGCATCTCATAAAATAAATAGTGAACGTGACAATCACTTTTACTGCCTTCAGTCAAGAAAAAAAGGATGTTGAATTCTGGTTTTGCTTTTCCTTTATCTTCTTACATCAAGTGAAGCTCATCTGGTTATTGACTTGTACTTGAACTTCTCATTTCGGAAGGATTGATGGTCAGAGTTCCTGTACTTGAAAACTTTAGCCTAGTGAAATAATGCTATCAATTGGTCAAAAAAAGGAGAATTTTGGATGCTTTCAATGTGTTTAGTTTTCACTTGTTTAAGGGGGCACCATTTGAACCAGTAGCTCTCAAAATGTCTGCATGTGTTTCTTCCTAAAAATGATGTTCTCTGTTGAAAATCTACTTCTGACAGTTTAAAAGGAATGTTGTCAGCTGTTTTGAGTGAGGAGTGTACTAGTCTAAAATTCTAATTTTTAGGTAAAATAGCAGATCAGTAGAAAATACATATCTGTTTGATACCAGTTGGTTATTAGTATTGACAAGACTATTGTAGAAAATCATCAGATATACTTGAAGGGAGGTAGAAGAATGTGATAAAATACAGGTTTGTGTATGGAGTCAGCATAGGTCCTGGAAAAAATTATACATTTTCAACCACTTCTAGGTACTACTATGGGCCTGGGCATGAAAAAGAAAGCAAGTAATAATATGATTTGTAAAAGGTAGGAGAGAGATGAGGGGACTAGGCTGAAATTATTTTACATTAGTCTCCTTACTCCATGGAGAGACTTGATAATCACATTTTCCCCGATATTGCAGCCAGTGTCATGGCAGTGAAAATAACTTCTGGAAACACTGGACTTGCAAGCTTAGCCACAAGTGACCCAGAAGTGGATTCTTAAGTTCTCCCTTTGTGGATTAGGTACTGGTTTCAGGTTTGGTCTTTTTATGGTCCAAGTCTTGGATCCACTAAGGGGTGAGCAGCAAGGTTATAGGCCCAGCTGTCATCCATGGCCAGCCTGTCAGCTGGTAGCATACAATGTTCTCGAGCCTCCTTGAGTGCTGGCAAGAGCTGTTCAAAACGAGATGTTATTTTGTTCCTTCCAGTAATTGTTTTGAAATGCATTCGAGGCTGATTTAAACCATGAAGGAAAGATTTTTCTTGTAACTAAAGACTGGGCTAGATGCTGGTCTCAGCTGTACCCTCTTAACACTGCTGAAGTGAGTAGCTCCTCTGGCAGATAATTATCCGTGTCGGTTGCTCTTTACAAGAAGTTGAGAAGGAAGGCTGTTTCCTTTACACCCAGAGCTGCATGGGACATGCCGAGAAGAGCCAGCAGCCTGGTGCAAAGCCCAGCACAAGGGGTAGTCTGTGCTTTTCATCCCAGGATCTTGGCACACTGAGAAGCGATTGTTCTGCTTTTTCATTGGGATAACAATGGTGTTGAGGCAGCCAGGGAGCACAGGAGCTCAGTAACTCTCCAGCCACTCTCTTCCCCTCCAGTTTTGTTTCCAGAGTCTGTGGAAGGATCAGTGTCAGTCCAAACACATTTGTTCTTCATTTTCCAAGTTGCCGGATAAGTAACTGGGTGAAAAACTTGCAGGGCCTGCAGAGAAGCTTGATTTTTGCCTTGGTGCCTACTGTTTTTCTCCTTACCTTTAATAACATTGGGCACTAGACACTAACATTGGGAAATCCTGAGGGCTGACAGTAGAGCCCACGAACAAGGAACTCACACCAAGATCAGTGGGTCTGTCCAAGCACATGGGTAGTGTGGCAGCAAACCATGGAGCTTCAGGAGATCTCCATCACCTGAAGGGGCTGCCCATGTGGTCTGGGGAAGGACTGTGACAAGGGTTTTTCCCTGGTTATTTGAGCGGGAGGGCAAACTGGCAGATGGCCTGAGCTCTGTGAAGGTTGTGAGCCTCGCACCATCACAGAGGTGGCTGGGGACCCACTGCTAAAAAGAGACCTTTCCAGTTGTTTTTTGAGGAAAGAGGAGTCCTGAGAAAAACTCAAAGGACCTTGGGAGCTTCCAAACCCTGCTGTGTGCCTGCCGACACCGCACCTGTGACATTAAACCAGGGAACTCTGGTTTAATGCTTGGTTAGCTGTTGTCCCTCACCCATCACTGATAATGTAGACATGAATCTTTATCTGGATTTCTCATCTCAAAGTGGAATACAATACTTGAATATTAGTCAGTGGTAGATGTGCAAGTTTACATGCTCTCATCACCACATCCAAAGTGGTGCAATTTGCAGTAGTTCCTGGAAACTGAGTCATTTGGTCCCGTTTTGCAGAGAGATGCAGCAAAGAGGAGGTCTTTGGTTAGGAATTAGAGGCTGAGTTCCAGCAGTGATGGGAATTTGTCCCTCCAGCTGCCTTATGTGGATTTGGGGTGTTCAGGCACTCTGAAGGGCAGAACTTTGCATCTTAAGCAGCCTGAAATCTTAAGCCAGTGAAAGGACAACATCCAGTTGTGGTATGAAAGCAAATGCTAACTAAATCAGAGGGTGACTGTAGGCTAAATAACTGGGTCATAGCTGTCATATAGATGGGGCTTTATAGGCATTGTGTCTGTTTATTGTGTTCAGGCATTGTCTTTCTCATTTCCAGAATCCTCATGGTTACACAACTGCAGGGCTTGCTGAGCGTGCCCTTTCTGTGAACTAGCCTGCCTAGGAATTTGTAAGTGATGACGCTGATTGCTCCTAGGAGTCTTTGCTGAAGTTGCTAGGTTCTGGCCTCTTTATATAGCATTAGTGACGGGAGCATACTCCAAGGCTTGAATATGTGCTAGAAATTTTTCTTCCTCTTGTTGAATTTGTGCAGACTGTCTCCAGTGCAGTCTTGACGTGGCACCCTGTATGCAGTACCACAAGTCCTTGCATCCCTCCTTATTCCTGGCAAAGTTCAGTGGTCCAGGACGTAAAGGACTTGCTGCCTTCTTTCCACCCACTTCTGCAATATTTTTTGCTTAATTGTGGTTGTATCCTTTTTGTTTGTTGATTAATCATTCTGGTATTGTTGTGTTGGTTTGGGTTTAATTTCCCTTTCTGTGTTTCCAGTGAGCATTCAGAGCCAGAAGAGCTCCCACAGTGTGTCTGGAGGGAGGGTATTTCCAGAGTACTGTTCACATCGGGTGAAATTCTGTCTCCATTGAAATCTGGTGGCAAAGCTCCCCACCTACTTCAGTTGGGCCAGATTTTCATTTCTGGAACTGGGCCAGTGCTTTTCTTTTTACTTCTGTGTGTGTTCAGCAGACATTTCCTCTTCTCTCCCTCCCTTTTTTTCCCCATGCTCTTGAATAGATAATGTCTTCCATGGGACCCTGGTCAATGTAGTGTACTGTGAACATCTGGATGGGACTTCATTTGGGGACCTGTCCCTAGGGTTCCTTGCTAAACCAAGCATCTCTTCTGTAGTAGCACTGATCACTTAAAAATGGACCAGCAGTTTCTCTCAGCTGGCTTCTACCAAGATCCAAGCCTTCATCAAGTCCCTTGGGTGTATATACAGCCCAAAGTCTGTTCAGTATTTAGTTTTAGTGACGGTTTGCTCTCTGTGGTGGGATTTTGTGCAGGATCCTGGGACAGTATTTTGTAATGTGATATTTCTGTAATCAGTTGCTGAAAATGAATGGATGGAAAAGCTTAAAAACTGGTGTTGGGGGAAAAAAAAGGGTGGGGGGATGAAAAAATTGTGTGAAAGTCATAAAAGTTCATCTTAGCTGAGTTTCCTGCTTTGACCCTATGACTTTTCAGCTCTCCAGAGGGCATGAAAGAAGATAAGCTAAGGAATTTTTTTACACAAGAATGCATCATAGTAATCTGTGTTGCCTAATTTTTAGTAGTGAGTTATGCAAAATGCTAACATCTTTGGAAATTTTACCGCAGGTGCTCTACCTTCTCTACAGATGATGTCAGTGTGAGCTGGGCTTGGCTAAGATTTGAACTTGAAGAAGCTCTAAGCTACACCAGCTTTGGAGGAGTGGAAGGTGGATTTGGGATTCAAGGAGGACATTGCAATATTCTTTGGGTCAGGCTCAGCTGGGATTGAATGATATGGTTTGAAAAAGGTAGTTCGCTGGGAAAGTAGCATCTAGATATTCTAAAGGTTGTATGGTGACACTTGCAGGGGAAAAAGTAGTTACTAATTTTTTTCCATCTTTTATAGCATCCATGGTCATCCATCTTCCTCAGCCCATGTGGCACTTGCTAATTTCTGCACTAGATAAAGTGCACTGCCTGAGTCTTTGCTCTCTGTTGGTAAATACCTCTAGTTTTTCAATTTAGAC